GGCCACCTGGTTAGTCGACAGTAGGAGATCTACCAGTCAAGCTGGCCCTGCCCTATCAAAACTTTTATGTACTGTAGAAGGGGATGAAGTCCCATAACACACAGTAAGAATCACCCATACTAATGAAGAATGATCTGTGATAAAACTGAGTGAAGCGCAGTAGTGATGGAACCAGAACTGGCTTCAGCATGCAACAATCCAACATTACACACCATCCTCCTGCCACACCGCACCGAGGCCTGATCCTGCTGTGCCCACTGAGTGAACTTCACACCATCCCTCCTGCCCAGACAGACTGTTATGACAGATGGAGTCCAAAGTCATGAACCAAATGAACTCAATGGACATTTTAAAGCAACATTTTAATGAACATAAAAGGACATTTATACACACTAAGGAAATTATATTTGTGTGTATATGTATGAAAAGACAGGAAAAGTGGTGGTGATTAATTGAAAATGTATCAGAAGGTATGGGACCTGAACATGATGTAGATGGTAAGAATAAGGGGTGGATATTGTCCTGGTTTCAGCTGGAATTAAGTTACTTTTCTTCCTAGTAGCTGGTATAGTGTTGTGTTTTGGATTTAAGATTACAGTAATGATGGTAACACACTGATGGTTTAGTTGTTGCTAAGCAGTGTTTATACTAAGTCAAGGACCTTTCAGCTTCTTACACTGCCCTGCCAGCTGGGGGTGCACAAGAAGCTGGGAGGGGACACAGCCAGGACAGCTGACCCAGATGAGCCAAAGGAGTATTCCATAGCATATGATGTCATACCCAGTATATAAACTGGGGACAGTTGGCCAGGGGGCACCATAGTTTGGGGATTGGCTGGGCATAGGCCAGCAATTGTATTGTGCATCATTTCTTTTGTATATTCTATTATTATTATTTCCCCTTTATTTTCTGTTCTATTAAACTGTCTTTATCTCAACCCTCACATTTTACTTTTTTTTTTCTCAATTCATTCCTCCATTCCACTGGGAGTGGGGCAGTGTGTGAGCGGTTGTGTGGTGCCTAATTGTCAGATGGGATTAACCACAACAGAGTCCCTGCAGCCACAGGGCTCTGGGTCTCACTGGGGCCCCTGTGGGTCCCTACAGCCCTGGGACTCAAGGGTAGTCCCTGAAGTCCTGGGACTCTGGGACCACACTTGGCATCTGCAGGTCCTTGCAGTCCCGGGGTGCTTCATGCCTTGCACCACTCCCGGGTCAGGACTTCACTTTTCCCTGGCTTTCCTGCTTGTCCCTGTCTCTCAAAGGGCAGGGAGAGCTAGCATAACTTGACGTCTCTCAGGTGCTTAACACCCTCCTGCTCCCACCTTGGGATGACCTTCACCTCCCAGACACTATCTCCTAATGTCCTGTGGCAGCTGTAACCCCTCATAACTGCTCCAGTTGGGTTTCTCCACACCAGGAAACTCAGCCCATTTTTAGCTTTTCCTTCTAACTCTCTTGTTCATTCCCCGGGAGATAAACCCTGGTGGAACAAAGATCTGAGGAGAGCCAGAGCTGCAGTTCACATAAAGCCAAAGCAGAAACATTTTCTGTAGCAAAAACATTTTTCATTTCAATTTGCAAAGCCTTTCAATGTCGATTCTCTAAGGAGCAGGAGCAGTCACTGCAGAGGGGAATGGATGCTCTTCTCCAGCTCTGGAGAGGCTGGAAGCTTGTCCTGCTGAGGTATTCAAGCTTGTTAATAGAATTGTGAACATCCACACGCAAAGACCTGCAACCCCATTCCCGGCACGTAAATCCCACATCCTGGCTCTAGAGTCTGTAAAGACACTTGGAGAGCTTAGAAATTTGAGCTGGAGAATGAAAGGAGGAGAAAGGGACAAGAAAGTCCTTGTTCAGACATAGCCGGTGACAGGAGCTGTGTCCTCACCATACCTTAACCAGGATCCCCTGCATGCCCTGGCCCCACCTGGCTCTGGAGAGGTCCCTGCTCATGAAGCTGGTGACTGTGGGGCATGGAGGGATGCCAGGGGCTGCTGACATGACAGTGTCTCATGTCATCCCCCACTGCCCATGCACAGTGACAAAGCATGGCCAAGAGCAGGACCCTGTGTGCTCTCAGCGGACAGATCCATCTCAGCAGTGCTCTGGGAGAGCATCCCAGAGATGGGACAACCTTGTGAAGGGCAAGCCTGTCTCCTGATGCTGCAGTTCTCACTTGGGAAGGCACAGACATGGAGCACAGCTATATTGTCAGCCCAGGGAATGTAATTCTGTGCCAGCCGTGGGGCCACCATGAGCTGCTAGCATCCCATAGCCAGGGAAAACCAGTGTCCAACTATACCAGGTGTAATCAGCCACTACCAGGTGCTGGATGCTGCAGGACATTGGGGTCACATCACTAATCCCAAGGTGCACTTTCAGCCAGCACCAACAGCAGGGCCGGGAAGACACCGTGTGTGTGATGAGGATGCACCCAGAGCCCAGCCAGGTCTCTGCTAACAGATACTCGTGCAAAATGAGCCTGTAAAATCCATCTTCCTCAGGCTCAGGTCTTGCTAGGGTGGCAGCTCTGATGCCTCCAGAGAAGCATCTCTTATTTACTCCCTCCCTGCTTCTGAGCTCCTGACACTTTGTCCAAAGAGGATGGGAAGGATGGGGCTCACATACCTCAGGGACACACCAAAAAATTGCTCCTGGGATAGCCACTGCCTAGCTGGAAACTAAAGGTGACTCCAGCCACAGGACATTTGATAGACAATGTTCATTAAGAGAAATTAAACAAGATGTGACAGAGGCAAGGTCATATTAATATGTGGCTTTACATTTGCTACAGTCTCCTTCACATCTCTCATTTGGGGTGCACAGGCTCCCAGCAGCATCACCCAGATCCAGGTCTTAGGTGCAAAAGAGCCAAGGGCAGTGGTAAATGGGGTTGTTTTGAGCCCTGAGTGCCTGCAAGGGCAAGTGGGTCATGGGAACCCATCTCAGCTCAGCTGGTGGCTTGCAGGTGACATGTGATGGTGACCAACAAGCTCTTGGGTGGCTGCATTGTTGTCCAGCTTGAACACTGACCCCACGGACTACTGCAGAAGAGAAGAAAGCACTTTCTCTTCAAGTTTCCAGCCTGTTCAGCCAGGGACAGAAATGCTCCTGTCTCTCAGATGCAAAGAGAAATGCGGCTAGGCAGGGCTGGTTCCTGCTTCAGCAATGCTGGGCAAGCAGTCTGCTCCTTCCCATGCAGCCTGTCAGAGCTCCTCCATCCCCAGGACTGCAATGTCCTCCCTTCTTTCACCCCATGGACATGCTTTGGAGCTACAAAGCCCACAGACTTGGGTCCAACCTTCCCCCACACATTCACATATGGACTATCAAGGATGTGTCTGGCTCTTGCAGGGGCTGGGGTGACTGCCCATGCTTGCATGTGGACACACAGATGTGCACATGCTCACACACAGATGCTCCCATGCATCCCATGGGATGCTATAGCAATGGCATTAGACAACTCCAGACCACAAATCCTTCTGGCTTTGCTTGCTCCCTGCTCTGCAGCCCTAAGGCCACTCCAAGATCTTTCCTCTGCACTATGCCCAACTTGGGATCTGCCGCTCCCTGCCCACTGCATCAGCTCTTTATCCAAGCATGGCGCTTGGCAGCTCTGCCTCGCTGGCAGATGACCACAGCACCCAGAGCAACCCAAGCTGTGAAACCTGCAGCCCCATGACAAGCTGGTGTGCATGGAAGACTGACTGTTCAGCCCACCATGCTACAGCATGGGCAGTTGAAGGCAGTCTTCCTCCCCAGGCAAGACTGTGAGCAGCTGCAGCTCTCCAGCTTTCTCCCTGTTCTCCCTTCCATGAGTTGTTGCCATCATGCCCAGCTGGCAGCTGGTCTCAAGCACAGTACCCTGGGGTCAGTACTGGGTCCATGTTCCCCATCCACATCAGAGAGTCAGATGAGAAGGCAAGTGCACCCTTGCCTTGCAGGTGAAGCTAAACTAGAGGGAATGGGTGTGCAGAAAATGGCAGAGCCTCAGTCCAGATAAACCCCAAGAAACTCAAAATTTGGGTCAACAGAAAACTTGTGGACATCAACAATATAGGCCAGATAATCCTAGGTTTCAGCCAGGCTGGGGACCGAGGGGCTAAGCAGGGTACCAGTGGAAAGGTCCCAGACAAGGTCCTGGACAAGAGGCTGAACAAATGGGACAAGCTGCATGCTGGACAACATGAGGAGGAGTGTGGCCAGCAGGCTGAGAGAAGGGGTTGTCCCCTTTGTGCAGCACCAGGGAACACCCACCTGAGTGCTGTGCCCAGACCGGCTCCCCACTTTAGGGAGAGGTGAAGGAGCTGGAGAGGGACCAGCAGATGCTGCTGGCAGGGCCAGGGCCTGGGGCTACAAGAGGACTGGGTTGGGATCTACCAGCATCATGCAGTTACCTGCAGGGCAGATGCAAAGGCAATGGAGCCAATCTCTCCAGTAGGGCATGAGATGTAACAAAGGACAATGGACATTAACTGCAGCTTCAGGTTGGACTGTAGGAATTATTTTTTTCTCCTGGGGAGGTAGTGCAGCTGTGGGACATGCCACCAGGGAGGTGGAGCAAGTCCATCCTTCAAGACAGCTGTGTAAAGCCATGGGTGACCTTACCCTGTGCTGGTGGTGTTTCTGCTCCAAGCAGCAGGGTGAGCTAGAGTCTCCCAGGGGTCCCTTCCCACCAGCATCACCAGGATCCTGTGAGCCCAGGGAGGGGCAACCTCCCCAACTGCAAATTCTTTCCCTTCCCCACACCAGGAGCCAACTCCACAGACCCAGGACACCTTGACAGGCGGGGTCCTTTGCACTGGACTGCCCAGGACCAGTGCTGGCCCACATTCTGCTGATGCTGAAGCCCATCGCTTCCGCCTCACTGCTGGGAGGCCTGGCCGCAGCTCCTGGCAGGTGATCAGCTGATCCTGACAGCGAGCTGGTGCTGCAAAGTCAGGCACAGAGATTGCCAGTGTGCCGGCGAGGGGAGAGCAGGGCCACCAGGGCTGGGGGGCTCAGGGGGCCAGGGGCAGCTCTGCCCTGAAAGCTGACCCACCTGCACGTTGCTACCTGCTGAATAATAGAGGAGCTGACAGCCAGCCGGAGAGAAATGTGATCCTGGCTAGCCAGCCGGGGAAGACATCTGAGCTCCCCGCAGCTGCGATAGCAACTGCAGGGAAGGAGCCTTCCTCCCCGCCGCTCTGTGCAGCGCAGCGTGCTCGGGGTGGCTGGAGGTCTCTTCCCATCCTGGTGTGCCTGGGTGGCCAGTGCCCACTGCATGGGCACAGGCTTGGAGCTCGGAGGATGATGTGAGCTGCATCAGGCACCCAGCAAGGCAGAGCTCAAGGGCAGAGCTGAGTTTCCCAGGAGGTGAGGCAGAAGGAGCCTGCCTGCAGCCAGTGCCCGTGCCCTGGGTCCAGCAGCTCAGCCCCATGTCCAGAGGAGGGGAGATGGTTTATATCCCGGATGACTCTGACTTCAGCTCCTTCCGGGATCAGTGTGAGAGCCTGGAGGGCTGGCACTGCCGGTATAACAAGGCTGGCGTGACCGTGTGGAGTCAGGGACAGGAAGAAAACTGCACTGTGCAGAAAATCAAGGTAAGCAGACGCCTGCAGCTGCAGGACCACCAGCCCTTCCCTTCCCCAGCTGTGCGCTCAGCTGCTCCCTAGGGTGCTGGCCCATCCTGGGGGTGCACGGCACCCTGTCCCAGCTGCCTGGGGGTGTTTCTGCCCCAAATGCCAGATCTGGCAGGGTTGGTTCCCCAGAGGTGCTTCCCCAGTTGGCAAGCTGCTCTGCAGCCTCTCACTGCCTGCCCTGTGGCTTTAGCCTCTCGACCTGCCAGGATGCCTGCCGCAGCGTCCTGCCATGCATGCACGCATGTGGGCTCACATTGCGGCTGCCCTTGATCCAGACACAGGCGGGAAGGCCCTGGGATCGATTACATTATGGAGATGGCCTTGCTGGGAGCCCCTGGGCATGAGGCAGGCTGGCGATATGCCTCCATGGTGCCTCTCCCCCAGCCACAGCATCCTGGGGCACATCGCCTCACATCCTGCACTGAATGAGCATCCCAGAGAGTTTAAGAACCCCAGTAGGCTGTCTCAGGAGGTTTGTCCCTTGCCAGGGGCCAAATCTGGGATGCTGCAGAGGAACTAGAGAAGTTCAGCTATTCCTCAGGTTGTTACACCTTGTTGCTCATCTACATGGCACCAGTGACACAGCCAGGTGACCCTGAGCACATCAAGAGTGGTTACAAGGTGCTTGGGGCAAGGGGCATGGGAGCCCCATTGCGGGGTAAGCCCTGCATGGGAGCTTCCTGAGGGTCAATGCTTGGCTCCATGGATGGTGTCACAGGCAGGGCTTTGGCTTTTCAGGACATTGAGGATCAGGACTGCTGGGTAGGGATGGGATCTGCCCTGGCAAGTAGGGTCAGAGCATCTTACCTACGGGACACCCAACCTGATAAAGAGAGCTTTCAACTAGGAGTGTCAGGGAAGAGTTACTATGATCTTGAAGAGTAGGGAAGGCATGGGGAGGTGGTGAGGAGGTACCTGGGGTACAGTACACTGGAGGAGGTTCTTGCACCACTCTCCTCAATGTGGAGTAACCAGCAGCCCACCTCAGGTGCCTGCAACCAGGACATGCAGCTGGGGATACTGGAGGAGCTGGTCACACAATGATTAAAGTGCTGCCACGGATGGACGCCCTTCAGGGCCAAGATGAGGAGGAGGAGAGGTGCTCTCTGCAGAGGTGCAGCTGCAATACACACTGCCTTGCTGCTGGGAAGAGCTCCCAGGCTAGGATTAGGGAGCACTTAAGCCAATTGGGCATGCACAAGTGCACAGGACCAGTCAGGATGCACTCGGGGGTGCTGAGGGGTCTGGCCAACACCTCTTTGAAAAGTCCTGGAGATTGCAGGAGGTCTCTGATAACTGGGAAGAGGCAAAAGTCACATCCATCTTCCAGAAGGGCAAGAGGGATGCTCTAGGGCACTATGGGCTGCTCTGTCACCTCCATGCCTGGGAAGGTCATGAAGAACATTGTCCAGGAAGCCATGTCCTGAAGGACGAGGACAGTGGTGACAGCAGCAGGGACCGACCAAGGTTTGACCAGCCTGATTGCCTCCTTCAATGAGAGAACTAGCTGTGTGGGTATGTGGGACCATGATTTTAGTAAAGCCTTTGACAGGGATTTCCATAGTCTGATCATTGCCACATTAGTGAGATCTGGACTGGAGAAGTAGATGATGAGATGGATGGAAAACCAGCTCACCATCAGGCTCATGGTCATGACATGGTGGTCAGCATTGCAGAGTCCAGATGGTGGCAAGTTGCTGGGTCCTACCCTGTTACTGGAATGATGGGATTAAGTGCTCTCTCACATCAAGTGAGTCTGCAGGCAGCACTGAAGTATGTAGAGCATTAGACGTGCTGGAGACAAGGCCACTGCTGGGTGTGAACTGAACAGGGTGGAGGGACAGGCTAGCAGGAACCTCATGAAGTCCATCCAAGTTCAAACAAGCACAGCCCAGCAGAGGGGATGCAGTTATATCCCCCTTTACTACCACCAAGCCCCATAGAGAGAGGATCCTGTTCAGGAGGGTCAGTGCACCATTGCCCTGCCTGGTTCATTGCAAGTAATACCTCATTAATGTGGTTTTTCCCTGTTCTGGAGAGGCTCTGGGCATGGTGAGGGGTTAGCACTGCCTGGGGACCCTTCCTGAAATGTGGGATGGAGGATGCAGGAGAGCAGAGCTGCACAGGCTGGGGCTGGAGGGTCAGAAAAGCTCCAGTCTTTCCATTAATACAGGCATTACCGGGAGAGTCCCTGAGCAGCTGGAGCTTTGGATTTTTTCCACCTAAATTTACTGTGGATGGTCTGATCAGGGGCTTTGTGCTTTCCCTGTCCCAGCTGACTGCCTGTTGTGCCCAATGTGGCCATTACACAGACTTTTCAGTTGGCTGCAAAGGGTGGTGGACACGCTTTTGTGAGGGATTTTGGGGGTGCAAGGCTGCGATGGTCCTGCTGTGATAACTGGAGCTTCCAGGAGCCCAGGAGGACCATGAGCTCCACCTGTGGCTGGAGGCCTCCTTCATCCTGTGGCAGCAGAACCTTCCAGACCCTGCTGGGAGGGGGTGGCCGAGGAGAGGGAGCAGGAGGAGGCAACTAGGTGCTTCCACACTCTCCTCCACGGTGCCCTAGGAAGTGCAGCACATCTCCAAGCCTGTCCTGGGCATGAGTCCAGCACGCCGGGCAGAAACCATCACCCAGGCCATTGGGGAAAGCTTGCCTGAGATTGATGGGACCTGCCACGTTCACAGGGCCATCTCCAATTACACAGCACTACTGAATGCCTCATCAAAGATGCAAGGCCTCTAACGAGGAGCAGATGACATCTCCTTCCTCCCAGCATTGAGAGGAGTGGGTCGGCCAGCTTCATCAATAATGCACTCACCAGAGTGGTCAGGCAGCTCCACGGCTCTGGTTACAGCTGGGGCCCTGCCAACCTCCCCGGAGTAGACCCTGTGCCTGAGAGCACCATGCCAGGGCAGTAGCATCCCTTTACTTGCCCTGTAGGAACATGGGGTGAGGGGACAAGTCTGGGCTCAGGGTACACAGGCACCAGAACCTGGACCACCAGGCAGCTCTGTTTCTCTGTTTGAGGGCAGAGGGTCCTTCTACCGCCGCTGTCCTCCTGCCTTCTCACTGTGATGCATGCTGACAGTGGGGATGGTGGCTCTGCCTGGGCTGTCCCAAATCAGGGACATGCCCTGCAACATGTTTGCAGAGCATCTTCTGTGGCACCCATGCAGGTGACTTCATAGCAGCATGGGGGCATGCCACCACACAAGGGAACAGTCTAGAGTCCTTGTCCCTAGATGGGCACAGCTCCTTGCTCTGGGGGTGGGTGCTGCCCCTGTCCAGCTGCCCATCTCCCCACAGACTCGCATCTCCTGCAAGGACGTCCCTGCTGAGACACTCTATGATGTACTGCACGACACCCACTACCGCAAGAAATGGGACTCAAACATGATTGAGACCTATGACATCGGGCGCCTGACTGTTAATGCTGACGTGGGATACTACTCCTGTGAGCATCCCCCATCCCCTGGGGACCCCCAGAGCCCCCTTTCCCAACCCCACAGCCCTGTGCATGTGTGTGTGAGCAATGGGTTGGGGTGTAACAGGATCTGTCCACAGGGAAATGCCCAAGCCCCCTGAAGAACCGGGATTTTGTCACCCTGCGGTCCTGGCTGCCCTTGGGCAATGACTACATGATCATCAACTACAGCGTCAAACACCCGGTGAGCCCCTAGCCAGCCCCAACCTGCCATGGACCAACAGGCACAGGCAGCAATGGGCAGCAGCTTGGGCAGGCTCTGAGGTGCATGGCATCTCTCTGCAGAAATATCCACCCCGGAAGGATTTTGTGAGGGCCGTGTCCCTGCAGACAGGTTACCTGATCAAGGCGAATGGTGCCGGTGCCTGCGTCCTCTATTATCTCACCCAGGTGGACCCTCGCGGTGAGTGCCAGCAGGGGGGGACGGTGCAGCATGTCTCCTGGGGATGGGTCCCATTGTACCCCCAGAGCTCACTCACTGTGGCTCTCCATCTCCTGGAGCCCAAAGGGCACTGAGAAGTGGGGACAACCCAGGGAAGAAGGGGGCCCCTCCCAAATCACAGCACGGGGCAGGTGCCATCAGCCCGGAGGGGGCTCAATCTGTCATGGGGCGCTGCGGGTTCATGGTGCCTCCTCTGGGGCTGTCCCAGATTGGATGAGTGATGGGGCTTTGGGCTCTTGCAGGGTCGCTGCCAAAGTGGGTGGTGAACCGCGTCTCCCAGTTTGTGGCACCAAAGGTAAGCAGGGTGCGTGGCCAGTGGTGGGATGCACAGGCATCAGGGATGAGCTGCCCCAAAGTAGCCCCCTAGGTAGGGGCAGGACGGGTACTGGGTGACCCAGGGCTCACAAGATGGGTGCTGAGTGACCCAGGGTTTGCAGAGTGTGCACTGGGCATGCTGCTGGGGCTGTGTGGTCTGAGCCAGGCCCCCATCCCCTCCTAGCACACCCAAAAAGCAAGCAATGGGGGAGATGAGAGCTGCCCACAGACCTGAATGGCTCCATCCCCACTGGGAACTTGGGGTACTGTGACGGGCTGGACCCACTCTGCTCACAGGCGATGAAGAAGATCTACAAGGCTGGGCTGAAGTACCCTGAGTGGAAACGCAAACACGACCCTGGATACAAGCCCTGGGTGTACCCGGAGCAGAACACACTGCCCAGTGTCAGCCTGACCGAGCTCTCGGTGCAGCATGCCGACTCGCTGGAGAACATCGATGAGACAGGGCTGTCTGAAGACCACCTGAGCACCAGTGACCACGAGGCCTGAGCCCCCGCCACAACCCTTTTGCAGTCAAACCCCTCGTGACTGGGGCTTGGCAGCCAGGGAACATGGGTGGGAATTTGGCCATCTGTGCCCAAATAGTCACCTCTGCTCTCCAACTCCTTCATCATAGACCCCCCTACCTGGGCAGCAGCATACTGACCCATGGGAACCTGCAGCATGGGTGCTGGAAAGAGGGAAGATGGGCACCCTGGTCCCCCCTGCACCTATGGTGGCCCATGGAGATGTCCCTACACAGGAGGTAGAGCTGGCAGTGGGAGCAGGTGCCCCAAGGAGATGCTGAGCAGGGCAAGAGAGGGGGAACCCTTCATGGGATGGGTAGGAGCTTTCCTGGCACCAGGATATCCCTTTGTCATTGTAAGATCTCCTAGGGGTGTCCCTCAAAGGTCCAGAAGTGGGGGATCTATGGGGGTCCTGCCCAGGCTTTGCAGCAGCACAGAGCTTGGACTGACTCTCCCAACCAAGCTGAACCCACTCCAGCCCACCAAACCCTCCCAGGCTTTGTGTGACCCCCCCACCATCTCAGGGAGCCCTCCCAGGTCCCCTCCTGGGCATCAGGCTCACCTCTGCAGGCTGGATCTAGCCCAGCTGGCTCTGGGGACCCCTTCCCCAGGTGGTGTTTGGGAGGACTTGTCCTGGCAGTGGGGTCTTGGGCAGTCCCTGTCCCTACTCGGTGTTTGCCGCTGCTGTGGTTTCTGGCACAACAATAAAGTGTTGGTGTGTGTGCGAGAGAGCTTCAGGCTGGCATGGGATGGTGGGGAAGCTGGCACTGAGCCCACCCTGAGGCTGTCCGGGCACTAGGTCTGAGGTGGGACAGGAAGGCCAATCCAGCTGTACGGTGTCAGCACCCAGGGGTGACCCTCAGTAGGGAGCGAGGTGACCGCTGGTGGGGGAGAAGAGGCAGACGCTGGGCTCCGCACACTCACACATGTGTGGGTGAGCGTGCACGGGCACAGGGCAGCTTCCACCGGACAACGGGAAGTTAGTCTAGACAGACACCGCTGGGGGAATATGCTGACAAATGCTGGGATTTCCATCCACCCGTTTGCCTCCACACTCTGAGGCTGCCTGCGTCTGCTGGGGTCCTGCCCCAAATGGGTTTAAGCCTGATCTGTGCAAGGCCAATGTAAAAGGGGTCATCACTGCTGATGGTGCTGGGGTGCACAGCTCCAGACCTATCCCAGAAAAGTAAATACTAGAGGACATGCTCAGGATGTAGGAACTACTCTGACAACCAGAGCTCTGCCCAGGCAGTGGTGGGGGAAAATGCCCTGGCAGCACCCAGGACTTGCAGCCTGCTCAGAACCACCTGCCACTATGGTTTTTGGGGCCCCTCTGACCAGCCCAGACTCACAGTCCTTGGTCACTCTGACCCCCTGTAGTCCCACCCCCAGCTGTGAGTGCTGCTGCCCTGTGCTTACTACCCCCACACCTTAAGCTTCTCCTCCCCAGTTCATCCAGACTTTCACTCCAGCATCCCAGATGCAGATGCTCACTGTCCCCCTTTAGCCACCCCATTAGGTCACGTATGTGCCCTGTGTTGCTCCAGGGGAACATGCCAAGCACATGTCTCACTGCAGAGAGTGCTGGGGAAGGGAGAGGAGGTCCTGGCATTCTGGGCAGCCAGCTCCCACGCTCTGCAGCTGGGCTGGCTGTACAAGCAGAGCAGGGGCAAGAAGCCACCTCTGCAGGGAAAATGCAGAAATCCTAAGAGCAGGAAATGTGCAGACTTCCCCTTCAGAGCGAGGGGCGCAGTCCCTCCCTGCCCCATGCTGCTCCCACCATGTCAGCAGACTGAGGTCATCTGCAGCAGGGAGGATTTTAGCTGTGAAAAGACACATCCCAGCCCCAGATTACCCCAGTAACACTTTGCAATAATCGTGGTAGAGCTGGGGAGGGAACCGTGGCCAGAGCAAGAGGGAGAAACACCCCTAGGTGCTGCCCTGATGGGGCATAGACCACTAGCACTCCAAGCCCGCAGGGTGTTGGGGTGAAGATCACCCTGCATGGCCCTGGTGGGGCGGGAAGCAGCCTCATCTCTCCTCATTCCCCGGATGTTTCTCTGCAGCAGCTGGGCTGCAGCTCTGCTGCAGGGCTATTTTTAGCCAGCCCTAAGTAGGTGTGAGGAGCTGCTGCCTGAGTACCGAGAGGCCAGTGGGGAGGCTCCCCTGGGGAAGGCTGTGCCAGAGTGGGTGACATCCCAGCCCAGGATGTTGCCCAAAATGGCCAGGATGGCAGCAGCATTGCGTGAAGGAGGACAAGGGCCGCTGGGGTGGCAGGGACACTGGTGCACATCAAGCACTGGGCTGCTGAAGAGCTTCTGGCCAACAGCATCATCCTGGCCAGGGAGCAGAGGGAAACCTGTGGGGCTGGGGAGGGGTCTGCCCCAGACCCTGTGGGGTGCTGAGAGCCCCAGCATGGTGATTTCTTACTGAATAATGTACCACACTGCTGGGTTTCCTGACACAAACAGGAAGGGGGCCATGCACCAGCATCCCTGAGCACCTGAGCAAGGGAAGGGGCAGACAGGGTGAGAGGGGACTGGAGCCCCCCAGGTGCCCTCACTGGGATGCTGGGGGATTGGGTGGCCCACAGACACATGAGGGCTAAAGCCCCACACAAGACTCCAGCTGGACAGCTTTTCCTGCCTGGCCCCAAGCAGAGAGGAGCCGCCCTGAAGTGCACAGATTGGAAAGGAAACGGGAAGCTGCTGTTGGACGAGAGATTAGCCCAGAGGCTGTGATGTCAGCTGGCACTCTGATGGATGGGGAGCAGGGGGAGGGGGGCATGGGCCCCCCATCCTGCTCACACACAACTACACAACCTACTCCAGTGCCCCAGTGTCAAACATGTAATGACTGGGGGAGGATGTGACCCCATCCCCAGGATCTCATGCTTTGCATGTCCTGAGCTCATGGATAAGTCTTGAGCAGCTCTTGACCCCACCACCCACAACGGAACCCTGAGCCCAACAGAGAGCCCCTCCAGCAGCCCAATTTATCTCATGGACTGGCCTTCAGAAGGGTTTTTGCTTGGAGAGGTCCAGCAGGTTTCCAAGTCCAACAGTCTTCAGATTCCCCCTCCCCACTCCTCCACCAACCCCTCCGAGGGTCTCAGGTCTCTGTCATGCCCCAGATAACCCTTTGGGCTCAGACCCCATCCCAGATCTCCAGCTATCAAATATGGCATTTGCCCTCTAAGTACAAGCCCTGAGTGTCCCTCACCCTGTCCTGCTCCCAAAGAGATGCTCCCACCATCACCACACACATCCCCCAGCACAATCCAGCTTGGGTACAGGTGCAGGTAGAGCAAAGGCTGCCCCAGAGTACAGCAAAGGCTGATGGCTAGGGAGGGAGGGATGCATCCATGGTGGATGGATGGGCAGCTGGGCGGGTGGACCTTGCGGGACAGCGTCATCATGCGTGCTGCCTGGAAAGGGGAAGGACCACACAGGCCAATGTGCTGGAAGAATCCAACCTTCACTTTGATCTTCACTTCCTCCAGCCCTTGCCAGCATCTTCATGAAGCCAAATCCCCCAGCCTGAGGGGTGTTTTCTGATCCTGCCCATCTGCCTCCAGGGAGCAGGTAAGACCTTCCTGCTGCGCGAATCCATAGACATGACAGGACTCTCTGTCTTGTCCCAGGGAGGCTAGCATCTGAATATAGATTGCATCAGTATGTTGGCAGACACCAGAGACCAAGTGAAGACTTTGAAACCTGCGCTGTAGAAAGTGGGCCAGTAGGAAGCCCTCAGGAAACAACCCAGCCACAACACACACATCACGGCTGCCAGTGCCCTGCCAGTGCCCTGCTGGTGCTCTGCTGTGCCCTGCTCTCCTCCGACACAGCCCCCTGTCAGCTCTCTGCCTCCAGGGTAGTCCCATGGCTGGGGGGTACCCTGGTTTGTGCTGTCATCCCAGCTAGGCTCTGTGAGAAGGGACAGTCCCCATTGGGAACCAGGTGCTGGGGCTCAGTGGAGGTGGTTGAACTGGGGTTTCCCCCCTGTCAGGGCAACAGAGCCCCAGTCCTAGCACTTAGGTCACTGTGGAGGGAGAAGGAAGTAGGAGAGAAGGTTTTTTGCACCAAACTGACCCGTCAGCAGCCATCAGGATGTGGGTTGTGGGAGCTGAACCCTGCTCTTGGTCATGCTGTGCCACCAGATGGGACTGTGATTTGTCACTCTGGGGATGTCCCTTCTACCCTCAGACAACGTTTCCCTCCCCAGCACCCATCTCTGCCCTCCCAGCATGCAGGGAGGAGCACTGTTCCCAGCAGTGGGTTATCAGGGGTCTGTAGAGATGCTGCAGGGTGCCAAACAGCACTTAGCCAGGATCTGACCTCACACAGGAGTGTGTTTCACTGGTGCAAATCCCACCAGCACAGCGGGATGGAAACGATGGCACACTAGCTGCCACCAGCATTACCAGCAGGCTTTGCTCTGCCCCCTCCAGCTTCTCACACAGCAGACCTCAGCAACCTTCCTGTGAGCAGTGGTGCTTATATTCAGCCAAACAGCTTCCTCTAATAGTCAGAGACAGAAGCCCAGCAGGACGTCACAGTTTGTCGTGCAGGGCCAGGGTGTTCTTGCACACCCTGAGGGTCCCTGTGCACCCCATCTCCACACCTCCTCCCCAGAGTGGTCCATGGGGCTACCCGCGCTATCCCCAGCCCTGGGGACATATCACTCCTCGCTCAAGCAGCTTGTGGTAAAGGGGGAGGAAAGAAAAAGCCATGCTGGGCCCATGCTGAGTTCTGCTTCTGCTTTGTAGGAACAAGCCTATGATAAGGAGAAGATGCCTTTCCATGCCTAGCTACATGCACAGAGACTTGTATGGGGTGGTCTTCCCACACTGGGGGCTCCCACCACTCCCAGTCCCCCATGGCTTTTGGGGGCATCACTGGGGCAGGGAAGGACCAGCCTAAGTTGGAGCAAGGTGTTGCCCAGGGAGCCAGACCCTCACAGGGCAGAGAGCAATTATCAGCCTTACCATCAGGAGAGGAGAAGTGCTGAAGGGTGTTGTGTGCTATCAGCCTCGGACATCCTCTGTGTGCAAGGTTGGGTAACAGCAGAGCTGGACTAATTGCCAGCCCCACTCAGGCTTTTGTGAAAAGTGCTGTGATAAAGGCAGCCGGGTTAGCTGGTGGTGAAAGCACAGGCTCCTTACAGAAGAGAAATCCTCCCGATGTCCCCTGTCACCCCTGCTCCTCAGCTCACTCCACATCCTTTATCATGGGGCGCCACCAGTGGGATAGGGTGCTGCATCCCCAGCATCCCTGCAGCACAGGGGAGGTTCTTGTGTTCCCAATATTCACCCAACCACTCCAGTGCCAGCTTTCCCAAGTCCCCTCATCACCATAAACATTTTGGCCTGTTTGCTCCAATACGGCAGCACCTCCCCAGCATCTGTACCCTGTCCAGTCCTGGGCCATGGTGGATACAGTGAATATCTCCTCTTGGCTGTGGCCAGAGGCAGAAACAGGAAATAGATCTGAACGCGCACGAGAACTTCAAAGAGCTCCTTCAGCAGCACAGCCTCGGGGTGTGGGTCTCAGGGCAGCCTGGTCTCGCCATGGCAATGCATGTCTGAGCTCTCGTAGTGGGGAGCAAGATCCTTTCTGGGAAGGTAAGAGAAGGTGGATGAGTAGGGAGAGTGGGGGGCAGCCCCCGCAGGAGGGCAGAGCCTGTCCGAGGGGCAGGACATGGGGCAGCCAGGCCAGGAGCCAAATACGGGGCAGAGTCATGCCTGGGAAGGGGCAGGACAGGAGGGTGGGACAGGGATGGGAACCGGAGGGTTGGCCTGGAGGAGGGACCGGCAGTGGGAGGCGCAGGGCTGGGTGCTGCGAAACCTGCCTGTACCCGCAGCAGTTCCTGCAGGGCTGTCTGCCCGTGCCCGCAGGCTGAGCCCTGTGCCCGTCGGGGACGACTTGGCATCACCCTGGAGCCCAGAGCAGGGCAGCCGTGGAGCCCGCAGCAGCACTGCCACCGCACTGCTCTGCCAGAGCCAGCCCTGGAGGGCTGTGGACCGCGCTGCGGGGCAAGAGGTGAGGGACAATCCCGTGGGTGGCAGGGATGGATGGGACAGACTTGGGGACAGGGGGAGAAGGACCAGGACCAGGGCAGTCCATGCCCACTTCCAGTCCACTGCACCGGCTGGTCCACGTGGGTTTTCAGGCACAGGGACGGTGTCCACCTCCCTGTGAAGCGCCACTGCCAGAGGGCACAGCCAAACTGCCCCAAAGTGCCACACCACAGCCCAGAGACCGGCACAGCCCCGGTGCCCACTGCCTGGGCATGGGAACATCTCGGGAGACAGCTCCTGGCAAGGAGGCTGCCTGCTGCAGCCCCAGGCAGGGCAGGCAGCAGACAAAGCTGGCCGCAGATCCCTCGGGGTGGTACAGGCACGAGAAAAGGGGAAATTGCCCCATTTCAGCACCAGACTGCTGGGCAGAAGTGGGTACAGTCCTTTAATCCTCTGGCGGAGACACCCAGCCCACACTGATATGGGACATCACCCTCCCCACCACCCTGCTCAGCCCTTTGTGTAGGTCCTACATCAATGGGCAGCCTGCCAGCTGCAATGTCCCCATGCCCTGTTCCCCACGCCCTGCTCCCCCAGCTTCTTGGTCAACTCCTGCCATGACTGTCCCCCCTCCATGCATGCCGGTGCCCAGCCACTTGCCCCATGGGCAAGTGCACCCACAGTGTGGGGTTGGGCACATGCACCACGCACACCCCACACCCACCCATGTGAGCAGAGCCCTGCAGTTCACGCGTGCTGGCTGACAGCATCCCCCCCCACATGCTCCTAGGGACACCACCACCTCCACCAGCTCACCAGCCTGCCCGCACTTCCCTACGCCACTCATGCAACCCTTGCCTGTGCAGGTAGGAGTGGGGAGCAGGCAGATGCCTGCTCAGGAGTGCGGGGGCTCATGCAGCATGGAGCCTGGCCTGGCTGTCCCTCGGCAGGCTGGGACGCTGCTCCTGCAGGAGGGGGCAGGGGATGCGTGGGAGCATGCAGGCAGCAGGAAGGAAGCCTGCACTGAACAATAGAGGGAAATGGAGGAACTGGAAAAAGACCCAGTGGCAGCACAGTCAGCACAGATGGTTTAGTGCAGAGCAGCATGATTCATGGGAAAAAGGCGCTCAGCACTCCACAGAGAGCCCACAGCTCTGTCTCAGGGCTGTGCCAGCAAATAATTTGGGGATGGGGGTCCCTGGCAGAGCGGGACCTAGTGGGTGGGCAGTGTGCTGAGTGTGAGCTCTGAGACATGTCCCTCTGATCGAGCTGCGGGTGCTGGCAGCAGGGTGTGAGGAAGCCCATCCCGGCTGGGGGTGGGTGGGAGACTGTCCCCCCTCTGCCAGGCCATGAGTCACGCTGACCTCTCCCATGCCCTCACCAGAAGCAAGAGAGAGAGATTATGGTCTGGCCCTTCCGTCTGCAGAGCCCTCCCCGAGCTGGCCGACATAGGAGATCGTCCCCTGGGAGGGGCCCAGCTGCTCCCCCCCTTATCTGCCTCGGGCAGCCCTTTCTGCCGGGACACCACCCCACCCCCCACCCCCCCCCC